TTTCTAATTTATTTATCAAATTCAGGAATCTATCGATCTTCAATCCTTTGGCAAAAATGTCAGTCAACTGTGCTTCACTTGAGCAATGTAACTTTAAGTTCACCTTGATTTACATTTTTCCTCAAGAAGAGAAATTCAACTTCGATATGCTTACTTCTTCCATGCAAAACTGGATTCTTCGCCAGATTTATGGTTGACTTGTTGTCAATTTGCAATACAAGAGGTTTCTTCACTTCGACCTCCATTTCTTCAAGTACTGATTTGATCCAAATTTCATGACATGCAACATAGGATCCTACTATATATTCAACTTCACACGATGATAATGCCACCACAGATTGCTTTTTCGAGCACCATGATATTGTGGCACCAAATACTTGAAAGAAATAGCCAGTTGTACTTCGATCTTCCTTATCTCTATACCAATCAGCATCTGAAAAATAATTAATTGTAGCTTCTTTGTTTTTAGTGTCTTGTCGAAATAGTATTCCACAGTTTATCGATCCTTTTGAGTATCTTAAGATTCTTCTTGCAGCCTTCATGTGTGACACCCTTGGTTCACTCATGTATCTGCTCACTAATCTGACTGCGAAACCTATATCAGGTCGACTATTGCACACATACCCCAGAGATCCCACAATTTGCTTGAACAAAGTTACATAAACTTTGTCTTTCTCTCCATTCTTTTCCAACTCCACGTTTGGTTTGACACGTGAGGATGCATGATTCAAATCATCCGTTCTAAATCTCTTGAGTATCTCTTTAACATACTTTCTTTGATGTACTTTGATGTAGCACCATACCTTGCTTCGACATTTGAAATTTCATGCCTAGGAAATAAGACAATTTTCTCAGATCCGACATTTCAAATTCTCTCATCATTAGTTCTTTGAACTTCAACAAGTTCTCTAAGCTATTTCCAGTTACGAGCAAGTCATCAACATACAAGTAGATGATTGTTATATATTATGCTACAACCTGAACATAGGCACCATATTGTGATTTGCATTTGATAAATCCTAATTCGACTAAGTATGAGTTGATCTTCTTGTTCCATGCCCTAGGTGCCTGCTTGAGGCCTTAGAGCGCTTTGTGCAAATTATTTACTTTACTCGCTTCCTTCTGAATCACAAACCCTGACGGTTGTGTGACATAGACCTCTTTATCTAAAGGACCGTTCAGAAATGCTGATTTCACATCTAAATGAAATGTCGATCAACCTTGGTTGCATGTCAATGCTACCACTAGTCAAACACTCTCCAATCTTGCTACTGAAGAAAATACTTCAGAGTAGTTGAGTCATTCCCGTTGAAGAAACCCCTCGAGCTACTAATCTTGTTTATGTCTTGCTATCGACCCATCAGCATTGTGTTTCAACTTGAACACCCACTCGACTTTGATAGCTTTTGTATGTGATGGCAATTTGATTAACTCCCATGTATTGTTTCTTTCGATTACCTGTAACTCATCGACCAAAGATAACTTCCATTGTTTAATATTCAAAGCTTAATTATGGTTGATTGGTTCAACACCTACAAGTAAAGCAAAATGAACTAATTCTCCATATGGTGTGACTTCATTCTCACCCACCACTTCATAATCTTGAAGTCTTGTTCGAAGAACTCTATTTATTTGAGTTCTTTGGGTTGTTTTAGCCATAGCCTCTTCGACTTTGACTGTTTCTGGAATGACAACAACTGATTTGACTTTGATTGGAATATTAGAAATTTCTTCGTCAAAACCATAGCTCATCAATGACTTGTTATTTGCATCGTTAGAATTTCAATCCTAGTTAGAATTTTCTTCAATCACAATGTCTCGACTCAACACAATCTTTTCATTAATTGGATTAAATAGCCTCTATGCACCAGAATCATAGGTTCACTCTTGTCATCAAGCTTCCTTCTTCTTGCATCAGGAACATGCTTGTAATACATAGAGCCAACCACCTTCAAATGACTCACAGATGGTCATTTTCAAAATTGTCTGGGCTGACACATTGGTGAATTATAAAGAGAGTTTTATAACTCTTCTTCTTTGATACTTTATATTCTGCTTCTTCTTCTTCTTCTGAAGCGTCTTCATCAAGCAATTCTAATCCATATTTCACAAGATCCCAAAGACCTTGAAAACAAAATATAACCTTCATTTGTTTACACCAATTCTCATAGTTATCATCTTTAAGAATTGTGAGACTTGCTGGAAAATTTTCGTTAGCATAATTCATCGCCATCGTGATCTTCTTCTTCCTCAATCGTTCTTGATCGTTATTCCCTTGAATCACTCAATCAGAGCTCTTGATATCAGATGTTGGAAATCGACAAAAACCTATGATGAATTTCTATCAATCTTGATGAACAAGATTGTTATCACCACACAATGACAATGAATTATATGAAAAGAAAATAAATAAGACAATTATTTTCTGTAGAGTTTCTCTTTGCCCACAAACTATGGAAAACTTTGTTATTCACTTGCAACTGCAAATTCTGTGAATACAACTTAATTGACTTGATTACAAAAAATGGGAGATTACTCCCTATTTATTGATTTAGGTTAGCTTACTCCCTAAGCCAAAATCCAAAACTATAAAAGCCCAAAATACATATTTCAAAACTAAATCAAATCTATCTATTTTAGACCTAAATCAAATCTTATCTATTCTAGATCTAAAACAAATACGTGTGTAACAAACTATTTCTACACTTTTAAATCAAATCTTTTCGACACTCCCTTGTCTATGTCGAGCAAACTGTTTCGACACAACAAATTACTTTCAACACCAACCAACTTATCAGAAATCAGGCACTATGATATTTCGTTTGTACCAATCTTCACTCGATACTATCAAATTTCTTTTGTCTGAGTCTTTGAAATGATTAAAGAGTTAGAAACTCCAAGATTTCATTCACATCAATATTTTCTTAATCCTACCAAAATTCTCTTGGAGAAGAAATATTTTTTCTTCATTGGATGTAAATCTCCAGAATTTACAAATACAATCTAATTCTTCAATCTAAAAAGACTATCAAACTTCACAAAAATATTATAGTCCCTAATGTACCTTACATTTATCACTCACAATCTCACTTAGAGTTGAGCTATTACAATATCTAAGATTTTTGACTAAAGGTTGAAGATGAAGTTTTCTTGAAGAATCTCACACATAATTTGTTTTCACCCAAGAAATCAACTCACAAATGAAATTTTTCTTTAAGGATGATTTGAAAAAAAGTTTGTGTGATTGACAAAACTTTTTCTGATTTTTCAAAGATTTGGGAGAGTGCAAAAACTCTTTTAAAGATGAGTGTTTTTTTCGCAAAAGTAAATTGTTATTTTAGAATATTTTTTTTCTCTCTTTTATATATGCTCTACATATTAGGTAGATAAATAGGTGAAAAATAAGTAGAATGATTGAAGATATAATCCAAAATTATAATTTGAATTAAACGAAAGAGTGACTTGAATTAAGATGATAAAATTAGGACTCAACCGCTTTGACTCAAGTCACGTTTCTTGAATGATGTCCCAAAATTTTGATTTCATTCATAATTTGAGTTAACTATTACTATGGCTCGAGTCAAGATGTCTTTGATTCGAGCCAAGCAAGACCTTGAATCGAGTCAAGTCATTAAACACCAAAATCCAAATTTCATATACACTCATGATCCGAGTCAAACAAAATTGTAACTCAAATCAAGCAAAAAAATCTTACTTCAGGTCTTTTTACTTGTGATTCAAGTCATACATTGTTGACTATTAATCAATTGTTCAATTTAAATTTAAAATAAAAAAAACATTGAATCATTTGAACCAAAGTGAGAATTAGAGATATCTATGAATTAAAAAAACTACGACAAAATGGTAAATCAAAAATACAATAAAACAATAAATAGAAAATATCTAAAATGCGGCAAGACAGAAATCACAATGTTATTGATCAAGTCATTTTTATGTTTGACAAATTTATGATGTTTTGATTCATCATAAAACGATCCACAAAACAAATTAAGCTCTTAAACTCCCTTTGCATTCAAAACTTATGGCACTTGCTTGAATATTTAAGATATCTCGTAAACTTCTCTTTGACAGAGATCAAAAGAGAGCTACGGCACTAAGACTAAAAACACACATAACTGGCAGAAACATCAAACATGTATTCACACTATTAATTGCCACAAAGCATGGATGCACAAACACCACAATTACACAACTTTGCAAATACACAAAGCATATACGCAATTTCAGAAAAATTAATCCATTGTAGATAATATAAAAATAACATCGAAGGAAATATTATCAAACATAATACAATAGCAAACACAACTACTAATGTAACGAAATACTATCAATTTTCATAAACGGTGAAAAAACTAGGAAATATAACGAAGTCAAAACTAAATACTAATGTACTAAATGTACATGATAACTAAATACTAATATACTAAATGTACATGATATGAGATACTAAATATGAAAGTTCAACCTAATCACTTGATTTATTCTTGTCTAAAAAAAAATTTCTTAAAAGTTTCCACTATATCATATGTGAATTTTTCACATGTTACCTTCTTACAATCAAAAATGAATTTTACACCGACTAACTAAACTAATTTTGTAATAATGAAATTGATATGATATAAATAATATAATAGAATGTTAGAGCTATAAATTCGAATCAGTGTCATATTATTGTGTCCAAATTATTTTGGTGCCAAGCAAAACAACTTCTGCTTGGTTAAACCCTGCATTCAAATTGTGCCGATAATACCCATAAACTAAAATCCACTAATAGTTAAATTATACATAAGCAAATAAATACTTAAAGGTATAGAGAAAATGAAGCAAAATAAGCCTCTTGCAATTTTTCTAAAGTTTTCACTTTTAAAGGTACAAACAATGAAACATGTTAATAAAGATTAGATTCTCAGAATGCTTATCATACCACTTTATCCCAATGTAGCTTGATCCATAATTGGTGATGAAAGAAAGAGCTTCCATTACGATGCAGGGGTTGTAGCAGGCGCAGCTTTCTGAATGGAATTGAGACATTGGTTTATAATAGAAATTTAGCATTGCATCAAGATGCAAAAAGACATTGTAGAAACAACAAAAAAATGTATAATTTTTTAATCGAAGTTTACCCGTTTTTGTTCTTCCATGTTTGCTTTTATCAGAGAGTAGATGGCAACACCTGCAATTGCAATCGCAGTTCCAATGCCAGTTTGTGTAGATATCTTGTTGCCTGCAGATGTTAACATAATGTTAGAACGTTTTCGTATAAACTATAAACTGTTTTCATAAGTCATCCGAGAGAGTTTATGAAAATAAACTCAAAATAACTTATGGACATGTCAAAACTCATAAGTTGTTTTCATAAGTTGTTTATTTGAGTAAATAAACTCAAATAAGTCAATCAATTTAATTACCAAACACCACTATTGAAAATCCAATGACAAAAACTCTCTTCAGCACATTTCCAACTGCATGTGTCAGTGGCGCAACGCGCTCCAAAGTATTAGTAGCAAGCTGCAATTATAACATCAAAAAAAAATTGTGAAAATTTCATTACACGCACATCAATTTAAGTCTGCAAAGAAGAAAAGTACTAAATATAGAAATAATCTCTTAACTAAAACACAAGCATACCTGATTATAAAGATGGTAAAACATCCCAATCCAGAAAAGATCAGACAAAAACTTGATCAGTCCTACTTTGGCTATAGCATTTCTAAATCCAAATTCCATGAGTTGGGGTCCCTCAATCTGGAAGCACACATAACCATATCAATCACAAACTAACAAAAAAACGATACTTGTTATAGCAAATGAACTTACAAGTATTGCCGGAGGAATACAAAAGGCGAGCGCAATTACTGAAATATAGGCATACACATTCGTACTGTCCATTCCCGTCTGTTCAAATTTAAAAGTATTTGGATTGTGAAAAGATGGTAAAACATTTCAATCTAGAAAAGATCGGACAACAACGTTGTGCGCAAAAGTAATGTGGCACAGGATCTTACCATTGCTTTCTTAGAATATAAACTTCTGTATGTAAACGCAATATTTGAAATCATTGCGCTAATGAAACCAGTCCAATTGAAAGACAGTTCAGTTAGTGATGCCATTGATACACCAAAAACAACAGGGGCCAAAGATAGCCATAGAGATAAGGGAATATGTTGGCCTAAAACAAACTGGGAAGCTGAAGCGTTGAAAAATGGCTCCAGAGCTGCAAAGGGAAAAAAATACAACAGATTGAAATTTATCAACAGACACATATATAGTGTCTAGATAAAAGCAGTGTAAGAAGTGTTTAAATTTTAATACCTTTTATGGTATGTGTGAAAGATACAGCAACAGCAGCAAATGATACATTGGACATAACATGACCAAGGGCATGACAAAATGCAACTGGAGTCAATAGTAACAAGAGCTCCTTATTCATTGGCTGACAAAAGAAAAAAATAAAATGTTACTGAAATTTATACTATGACTTCAAAATGGAACTTGACGAACCAGCCGGCTGAACCAGGAGCCAACTGTGGTCGGTTCTTAGTCTCTTAGAGCCGGATCGAACTATGGTTTGACTGGTTCATTATTCTCGAATCTCTTCGGTTCAATCTCTGGCGTGGTTTTAAAAATATTGATTAAAAGATAATAATACAGAGGAAGTATAACTCACTGCGCGTCTTGGTAGAGCTAGACCCCAAGAAAGAAGGCAATATACCACCCCAACAAGGAGATGTACAACAGAAACAAAACTGAAAAGAATTTGAAAAGATTAGCATTATCTTAAGGAACGGAATCAACAAAAAGGTACGAAATTATGAAGCGTTAAACTAGAAACAACAGTTATCTTGGCCTAATTATAGTAATTATAAAGTTAATCATTGAGGGAAAAAACATACAATGGATATGGAAAATAATTGTAGACTTTCTTGTTGAGTATGTTGAAAATCACATTTAAGAAGTACCTGCATAGAAGAAAGACAATTTCAGCAAACATATTGCTAGCTTGCAACCTATGAAGGTCGGAAGAGGATACAACATGACACGTCGAGACAGGTAATAATTTGAAAAAATAAAAAATTTCTTACCACATAAAGAAAAAGAAACCAGTAACCAATGCAGGAAATTTCTCACCAAAACTCTTTGAGGATATGACTGACCTGTAATTGAACATCAATAGTTAAAAATAAATAAAAAAAATAAAACATAAAATCATAGAATCAAACATGAAGTGTGCAACTCTAACCCATTTGAAATTTCAATTTCACTATCATCAGCATCAGCTGCTAATGCTGCAACAACAACTTTAAACCTTCTTTGTCTTACTCCCAAGGCCTTCACCAAGGTTGAATCTTTAGCCTCAAATTGAAGTGTTGGAGACTTCAACAAGGCATAACTGGTTGAAGTTGAAACTCTTTTGGGTGACAAAAAAAGTGAAGAAATTTGAGGTTTTTGAAGTGTTATGAGAACTGGGTTTGTTACAGAAGACATTTTCAAAAGGTACAATACTGAAATTCCAATGAAGTTGTGAGTGTTTATTTTGGAAGCGTAATTGAACGTTGAAAACAATGTTGTAAAAGAACGAGTTTAATAATGCTTTTCAATGTTGTTGTCAAGTTTCCCTCTAAAATATAACTGAAGTATCAAAATTGTGTTAACCAATATTTGAGTTCGGTTGTTTTTTTATCCATCTGTATTCTATAAACCACGTTTCTTATATTTAGAAGAATATGTATATTCTTATAATATCAAATTACACCTAAGAAATTAAGAAAATTGGATATTTTTAGCAATTAGGTCAAACTTAGTTGTAACTGGTGTTTATGAGAATAAGAAAATTAGACAATAGAGCATGATGCATGACGTTGATTTTCCAATCAGCACAATGTTGTTATTATAAAAAAATTAAGTTCAAATATTTTTAATATTGCCGTGTTTGCCGGCATATGCCCCATTATATGGAATTTTTTTGGTACAAATTTTATCTTATATATTATTATTTGTTCTGTGTTTGTACTATAGTTGATCAGAAAATTGACTAATTTAGATGTAGTTTAGAATAAGTTGATCTTTAGGGTTAACATTTCGATATTCCAGTTAGTATCAGATTGAAAAGTGATATGAATGAGAAAGAATTTGAATACATATGAGTTGACGTGTTTTTCTCTTTAAATAGAAAAACGGGTTGGTAACCGCACGCGTGTCAAATGGCGTGAGATGCGGTCAACTGTTAGATTGATCAAGACGATTAACATGACATTCATGTGAAGGATTACTTGCTCAGTGGAGAGAAATAATAATATTCCGCATTCAATATCTCGCTACTTCATCTTTGGGTCTTTGTCTTTTGGACCCTGCAGACGGTCCAAAATAGTTGCTCCCCTAGGTTCAATCTCAGCTAGTCAAGTGTATCTTCAACAACATAATCATCATCAATATAACATACAACAACACATATATATTCGACAATTTAACAACAACGACATGACAACATCATCAACATAGTGTATTCCAACAAAATAACCACACTCGAACTATCATCATAAGAAACGAGACATTACCACAACATTATCACAACATTCCAAAAATTCATTAATAAAGCGTATAGACAATTTAAACATAATAAACATGTAATTAGTAATCAAACAGGCTGCATAGATAAAATATGTTATAGTTCTGTTTATGAGATTCTCAATGCTTTGAACGATACTCGATTTGGACTTACAGTTCAAAAGTTATGGCCAAAACAATTTTACAGTACAACAATCAGGGAGCTGTTACAGCCACCCGTAATGGCCATTACGATCCGTAATGCTCCCAGTCCAGAATTTCATTTTTGGTACAAAAATTCAGAGGGTTGTTATGGCCACTAATAGTCGCTATTACAGGCCATAATTGATCCCAGAAAAACACATTTTCTACGCGATTTTGTGTGATCTCTCTTGCTTTTCAGCCTTTCAACAGACTCCAAAGTCTAAGTTTTGACCTCCAACAAACCCAAAACATATCACGTCATATGGTACATGAATCAAGGTAAATTAAACACGTCACAACGTCAATTCATCATTTCTAAATCGCCATTAACACACTTAAGGTCACAAACTTCAAATATCAATCAATGGTATATCAAACATCATTCTCAATAATTTCATCACAAATCATTCATCATTAATCAACATAGACAACAAAACATATGTCTACTCTACCCTTATACTAATCATAGTCCATCAAAATTATCCACCCTTACCTTGAATTCTTAGCAACTTTGATTCTCAAGCTCTATGGATTGATGTCACTTTCGTTCCTCTGTGCTTTAAACTGCGCTTCATGTTCCCTCAATTTTTCATGAATGCTACAGAGTGACACTTCTTCCTTATTTTATTCGTTAACTTAGACACTTTCTATGATCTTTCCCTTATACCCTCACTTATCCTCTTACAATTACCATCATACCCCTAAGTTCTCTACACATTTATTTTATTTAATTATTTAATAATAAATAACCTAAAACTATTATTATTATAATAATTCTAAACAGCATAAACTTTAATTATTTAATATAAAATAATTTCTAAGTTAATATCTACATCTCACTGCTAACCTAACACACATCAACATAAAATCACACAATATTCATAATCACTCACAAAAATATAAATTCTAAATTTCGGGGTGTTTCAGATGCTTGTCGTGTGATGCGGTATCTTGTTAGTCATCTCTTGAGAAAAGAAGATGGAAGGATGGGAATTGGAGGTGTTACAATTGTTAGTTTTACCGGATCCCACAGTGGACACCATTGTAATGTCCATAAATAGTACAAGTGTGTGTATATTCCCCCCTACAAGGACAAGGAGACTCAGAGACCCTAGTAGGTATATTATACGAATGGAATGGGGGCTAGCTCACAATGACGAGTAACCATGTATGGTGGTTTTTTTAGGTTGTTTAAGATTCCACCTCACATAAGGTGAAAGGTCTTATTGTTGACCGTCGCTGCTAGGCCATAGAAGGACGGTCAGAATGATGTTGCTAGGGTTACGCAGAGCGGAGTACTCCCCCATCGGTGTTAAATGTGTGTAAGTAAGTAAGTGAGTGATACTTGAGAGTTGTCTCTTATCTTTTAAAGGGTGGGGTATTTATAGGAATTTTAGATTCCTAAGGCTTCCTTGTAAAAGGTCGCCGCCCACCCAGTCAAAAGGTGAACAGTTAAATTCCTATTTTCAAGAGATATGTGAGTCGGTAACTATCTTGACTTTTCCTCTATCCAAGACACGTCTTATCCCGCGTTTCCTCTTCCTAGGGGCGAGGAAAACACATGGGCGGAGCAATATCTCCCTACAAGCGGCCTCACATCGTCACCCTTTCTTAGGGCGGTCCTAAGTTGTTTCCATAATCAAGGTTATACGCAAATATAACATTATAGTAGGAGTTCTCTTAGTGTACTTTATCTTTAATTCATGTTGGTAACATATCTCACATAATTTGCAAACTATCAATTCAATATAGTTTGTAAATTTTTTATTATTGTCTTGGAAAAATCTAGAGATAATTGTAAATTGTAGTATAATTGCATTTGTGATTCCTTCCAAGATAAATATAACATCTCAATTTTTACAAATCACTTTCCGCAATGCGAACTCTGAATTTTCTTTTGGAAAATCGATCAATTTTTTAAAAGGGTCTATTTACCACTTCTAGATTATTTTCTATTCCATATTCCTACCTAACAATATTTACACTCGCTCAACTATCATGTATATCACGAGTTCCATCTTATGGAATAAAGAACTTAATATTAGATCAAACCTCTGAGCATCGAACCAAAATGGTGATATGCTCTAAATGGCCGAGTGACTTAAATACTCAATATTGAATACCACCTATTACAATTGAGATTACTATTTATCAATCTTTGTGAGGATAAACTCCATCATAATACTTTAAAGGTAATACTAACTTGTGTCCTAGGGGCAGCAGTTAAGAAACAAATGAAAAAAATATTATATTGAAAATTGTGTATTGATTTTAATAAAAATATAAAATTAAATTTTTATTGTTTTTTTCAATACAATATTTCTATAAGTGAATCTCTTAATTTGTATCTTTAGAGCACAATTCGTACTTTAATGTCAACGTAATATAAGGTGGTCCTCAAAATTTATAGTGTCAATATAGTTGCACACCAAAGTTAACCAAGAGCAGTTTCACGACAACCTTAAAAACCTAAATATGAGAATATCTCAGTTACGTAATTGATAATACCATGGAACTATTCTCGTGAATCCTTACCTTTACTAGTTATATGAACCTTTTTGAGGAGTCAAATTTGGAAACTTATGAGTGGCTTAGGCTAAAGAAAGAGTAGCTCCACCTTATCCTTGGAAGTGTTTTGGGATTTGGCCAGCAAAATGAGTGTGCTCTCCAAAGACTGATTTGGTTTAGAAACTTTTGAGTGGCCAAGGCTAAGAAAAAGTAACTCCACCTTACCTTTAGAAGCCTTTTGAGATATGGCTAGCAAAATAAGTATTTTTCAAAGTCCGATTTAGTTTGGAAACTTTCAAGTGGCTAAGGATAAAGAAAGAGTGACTCCACCTTAACCTTGGAAGCCTTTTAGGATATGGCCAGCAAAATGAGTGTGCTTTCCAAAGCACAATTTGATTTGAAAGCTTTCGAGTGGTTAAGATTAAAGAAAGAGTAGCTCCACTTTACCCTTGGAAGCCTTTTAGGATTTGGCCAGCAAAATGAATGTGCTTTCCAAAGCCCAATTTGGGCTAAAGAGATCTGATAAATAGTTTTAGAGAATTTATTTCTCCATCTCTATGGTTTTTTTTAGAGGTCTTTAGCGAAATTATAAAAATGTCTACAATTAAAAATATAACTATAAATCAAATAAAATTAAAATAAGTGTCTATAAATTTTTTCAAAATTTTTTGAAAATATGAAAATGGAAAATAAATAAAATAAAATAGAAAAATAAAGAATTTAGGGTTATGTCCGAATTTTAATTTAGAGTTGATTTTTAAAAAAATCAAATTTTTTATGTTAGGTCGCGTAAAGGACAAAGACGCAGGAACTCAAGATCTAAAACACCGAGATTATTTAGTTACATTTTATTTTTGTTATACAATATATCAATTAATATAATTAATATACCTTAATTCTAATTGATATAAATATTAAATACTTCGAATGTATATCCGAAAACCTTCAAAAATAAAATATTGAGATATTTCAGATATACATATCCAAAAATTTCTAAAACAAAATATAAAATAGATTCAAATATATATATATCCAAAGAATATTTTCGAGTTTTAAAGAATTAATTTAACATATAAAAATAGAAAAATAAATTCTCATAGTTTTATTACCTTTAAATTAGAAGCTTGACAAAATTTCGAATGACATGCTCCTTGCAACAATCTATGGTTCAATGGTGCCTTAGTCAACTTGTAAAACAATACTCTTTAACTCAACTCATTCTGACGCACCACCTTAATATTATATTTCTTATGATCTTCTATACACATTTGAAAGCATACTTTTGCATGAGTTAATTTTTTAGATAAATTCGGTTCCAAACAAAAAAAACTTTATTAAAAAATTAAATCAAGGAGATTTTTTTAAAACACGCATCAACCTCCAAAAACAACGAAATTTTATTTTCATAAAGCCTTACTTTGAACATATACTCCCCCTAAACACGTAAATTATAAGAAAAAACCTTTTACTATAACATATTAAAAAAAAAACTTATCTCTTAATTATCAAAAGTTTGAAAAAATAGAAACATTTTATATGAATCTTCGTATTGAAAATTTCTTTTTATTAAACATCTTATAAATTTTTTTGGAAAAGATAAAATTGACCTGCAGTGACAAAGAAAATAAGTCAACAAGTTGGTTTTACTACATTTCCTCTAAAAAATTGATTTCTAGTGACATATTTTATCTGTCACTATAAGTTAATTTTATTTTATATGAATTACTAAAAACATGTTTTCTTATACTATTACATTATTTATAATTATAAAAGTTGAGTTAAAATTTTTTTTTATTAAAATGACACCGCTATCCTTTTTAATTTTTAAATATACACTAATTTTCTGTTGGTAAATTTACTAAAATCTATAGTTATAGATAATATTTACCAACAGATTATTGTTTGTCACAAAAAATTTCTGTTGGTATATGTTAATCCAAAAAAATTAGTTTATATTTCTTTCATGAGAGGTGAATGCAATTTTCTCTTATAAAAAAAATATGTATTTGTCACATAATAACTACATAAGGAAAGTTTTTCTTATATATACAACATGATAATAGTTATTAAAAACTCTCAAACATAGATCAAATTAAAGAGTTTAAATTCAAATGATGACATCAAATCAACAATTTTAATTTGTTGAATTAAGATTTGCAGACTATATCAAATTTTTTAATTAGGATAAATATTCATATTAAATCCGTTGTTTTTAATCTAAAACAAATAGAAACATATAGGAGATTGCTTTAAGGTACTTAAGTATTACTTTTCCACCTTAATAAAATATCAAAATTATTTTTAAAATATGAAAATGCACTTTGATGCGTACTCAAAATACACTAAATCCATATGTTAAAATAGTCTAAAAATATAATTCCAAAATAAATTCGAAAGTATATTCCATAAATTCTTACACTACTTCTACTACTGTTCGCAAAATACTAACTTTATAACTTATTGTGTTCCTGGTTTTATGAAAAATATATTATTAATTAAATTATTTCCACGTGCATTTAAACAAAATACTAATATTTGCAGTTAATTTTTTTTTTGTAAGAAAACCATAAAATATTTTATTGAACATAATATATATTTACGGATTAACAAAAGTACATTTATAAATTTTTTTATTTATAAAATAAGATGTAATTCATTTATACATTGATTTTGTGTGTTTGAAGTATGTCTGAAATACACTCTCATAATCCAAGAAACATTTTTAATTTTTTATAGTGTTTTTCTATAGTTTAATTTAGAGGATTTAACATATCACTCTACACTTATATATATGACATTTCTATCACATATATATATATATATATATATATATATATATATATATATATATATTTTTACCATTATATTTTTGTGAATGATCATAAAATTTTAAAAAACATAAGTTTTATTGAAAATTTAGGGTACCGGAAATTTCAAGAAAATTTAAGAATTTTTTTTTGAAATTTTTGAAAAATGCAGTACTTCATTTTTTAGAAAATTTTTCTTTATATTATCGAAACTTTCCAGTATAATACACGAAATTTTCAATACAAAATCAGAAATTTCAATACATTTTAAAAATTTTCAGAAATTTTTATTTTTATTTAAAAAAAAAACCAAAAGTATCACAAAAAATTGAAAATTTCGCAAAAAATCCCCCAAAATTTAGTTCTTATACACCCCTTAATGTGTTTAGGAAATTTTCGAAATAACGAAATTTAGGAGTGTCATATATAATTTTAGAATTATGATGTTACATTCTCTTCAATCTATGATGTGATAAACAATTCTCAATATATAAATGAAGAATTTAACTTGCCATCCTCTAATTATATTTGTCCCCCTCATATTTTTTTAATGATAAAAATGTTCTTGTTATTATTAACACTAAAAAAAATTTAGGATCATTAAAAAAATTCACCATGACCATGCAGTAAAAAACAAAATTTATGGTACAAACTTTTCTCATTTTCCAACCAAATTGCCGTTTTTACCATAAATAATGTGGGAAATACGAAATTGCCGAGGATAAGTTACCAAAAAATTTGAAAATTCTGGTGTTTATCTGAAAAACAAAAGAAATCCTAAAATTTTAGAAATTTCTGGTATTTAACAAAAACTTTCGGATTTTTAGATATTTCTGGTATACTGGAAATTTTGTATATATACATAATTTCTGGTAGTGTAGAAAAATGCTTTACTTGTTTGGTCCAAAATCGACAACTTCTTCTACAGATTTCTGTAGAGATTTTACACAGTTATTCACCATTGACACTTTATATTTTCTATGTAACAAATTCAATTTTTAAAGGTTTTCTCATCTTTGTGAGATTGAAAATTTACTCTTTATATGTTGCAATTGACAGATATTTAAGTCCCGATCTGAAGTTTTAGCCTGAACACAAACTACTGGTAAAAGACATGGTATCATTGTTGTCACTGTTCGTTTGGATTATGCTAATGGGAAACGAGGGAGGAAAGATAAATTGATTATGGATTGTGAAAAAAGAGGTAATAACAACATGAAGAATGCATTTGAAATCAATAATTTCTTAGAAGACATTTATAGTATGAAAGTTAAATGTCCTTTAGGCTGAGATCTATACTAAGTGTTATCGGTTAAAAGGGGATTGTTAAGTGTGAGATGTACAATCATAAACTATCTATGAATATAGAAGGTCATGACATAATAGACCGTCTAAAAGATCATGAAAGACATATTGTGAATGACATTGCGAAGTACAAAATGGCTCCAAGGTACATAGTTGCTGCTTTGAAATACAAAGATCCATAAAACCTCATGAGTATTACCCAGGTGTATAGAGCTAGAGCTACTCGAGTTTATCAACAAACTCAATTGTTTTCTAATTTGTTCTATGACATGGTCTGTACATTTAGGAATGTGTTACGAGTAGACCACTTGAGTGTGCAGGGTATGGGTAAGTGGTTGACGATTTCTGATATGGATTATCCTATTACTTCTAGATACAATGTCGTATTTGTCTCCCTTTCCAAAAGACTTAACATCACATTTTCTCTCTTGCGTTAACTTCACCTATGTATATGAGCAGACATAAAATATTGTTGTTGGTTTTGTCAACAACAGTCACTCACTCTTGGAGACATAATTATACTAAAGATGCAAAAGCACGAGAATCAACATATGTATGACATTTTAGACATTGAGAAGACGAAGTTAGGAAGTCATCCTAATTTATTTTATATTTTTATATGTAGAACAATTTTTATATGTATAAGTAGCTTTTTTTTCTTTTTCGATTCAGTTACTCGAAAAAAAGTAATGCGAAAAAACGTAAAAAAAACAATCTGAGTATATATCATAAATTTCATATTTGTAATTTCTTTTTGTAAATATTAAAATTTTCAAAAATTATAATAAAAGAGTGTACGTAGCCATCGAAAATTTCAAAATTTTAATTATTTTAAGTTTGTTGCAGTAAAAATTATAATTTTTGGAAAATTTCTTATACTGATTAAGAATTTCCAATAATTTGCAGTATTTTTTTAAAATTCCAATTTTTAGTAAAGAGTATAAGGATTAAAGCTAATAAATATGAGGGTGTCACATATGACTGAGAAGTAGGTGACAAGTTAAATCCTCCCTCTTATCAAAAGCCCAACCCACTCTTGAAGAGGCCCATGATGATTCACAAAAATCAAAACTCAGCAGCTCTGACAAGTTGGAGTCGCACTGAAATCAACTTTCCGTCAAAATCAAAATCCGTCTGGAAAACACAGCCTAACTCGATCGTCGCTGTAGCGAGTAAGGCCGCAAGAAATTCCAGGTTTTCATTCAACTTCGTCTTCTTCTATATAAGCATTTCCATTCCCTCTTCTTGTGCTGGCGCGAGGATGCGATTCGTCGCGACTTGGGGCCTGCAAAAGGCACTGCACCAATGAACACCGTCGCAGAAGAGCATTACTCCACTTCGCACCGCGATTCCGCGATAAATCAAGCTGCGAGATTTACAGAACAAGTTTAAATTACATGTTAGGGTTAGTGATTATCCAATTTGTTATTTCCTTTTGAAAATGCTAGTGTATTTTAGGTTTAACCTTTTACACATCACAGGAAAGAGTAAAAATACTCTACTTTCTTTATCAGTGTTCTCAATCATGACTGCAGACTAGCTCATTGCGATTAAAAAATTAAAAAATATTTTGACTTTAGATTATCTGTAATAGATACCATGGCTAAGCGCAAAAGGTTGAACATTGTTCGAAAAAGCGGCAAATCACAAACTGATAAGCAATTAGTTGGTAGTTCTAATAATGTCAACCACAACATAAATGAAGAGTATGCACAATCTGGAGTTGGTATGGAATTCTTACTGGCCAAGTTTCTTTCATCCTTTGTCTTGATGCTTCATAGTTGTTTTAATTTTTCAATTCTTTGTATTAGATACAAGAGAAAACCTAATGGTTGCAAGCCTTAATCACCAAAATTACCAATCACAACCAGAACAACAAATACAAGTGGGAAGTCAAGTTGAATCTCATATTTCTTTCAATGGAATGAGTAGTTTACCTAAGGGTAATTGTAGCATTTTTTGAAATAAATATTTTGTATCTTCCAATTCGTTTACATGTGTATATATTAGATTAGACTATACACTTTTTTATTTATCATTCTCATTTTTGTTAATCTCTTAAGCCTCTTGTAGCAATTAAATAAATAATTTGAGTTTGGATTATGTATAATAGACACCATTTTGAGGCGCAAAAGGTCGAGTGCTGTTCGAAAAAGTAGCAATTCACAAGCTAAAGAGAAACAAATACTTGATAGCTCCAATGAAGTCAACCAAAACAAGTACAGTTACAGTAAAACCAAAGAGTTTGCACAATTTGAAGCAGGTGTGGAATTTTTGTTGGCTCAGTTTCTTCCATTTATCTTGATTTTTCATACTTCTTGATTTTGAATTATTTTTAGTAGACACAACAGAGAATCTAATGCTAGCTAGTCTAAATCGCCAAAATGACGTGCCGCAATCAGAACAGCAAATATACATGGGAAGTCATGTGGAGTATCCTAATTCTTTTAGTAGAATGGATGAAAGTTTACCTAAAGGTATGTGAGTGGTTTTTCTTAAAATTAAATGTGGAAGTATTTTCCTATATGCTTACACTTTAATTATTTAAGCTTGGTTACATAATCATTATAATCAACTGTTTATCATACCTAATTGTTTCATATTTTAAACCACATGTAGCAATTAAAACTAATTTCACTTTGGATTATCTACAATAGATACTATAGGGAGACACACGACAAGGTTGAGTGCTCGAAAAAGTGGCAAAGCACAAGCTGAAGAGCAATTAATTAACAGCTCAAATGCAGTCAATCGAAACAACCACAATATAAATGTTAAGTATGCACAGATTGGAAGAGGTATACAATTTTTATTTTTCTCAGTTTCTTTCTTCTCTTGTCTTGAATTGTCACCGTTTTTTAAACTTTTATTTTGAGTTCTATAGGTACAAAAGGCAATCTAATGGTAGCAAGTTTGAGTAACCAAAATGATGAATCACAGCCAGAACAACAATTCCAAGTGGGAAGTTTACCTAAAGGTAGCGTAGTGTTTTTTAAATATGAAGTACTTTCCTATATGTTTAGAAATTACATATTTTTCATTTAGGTTGGGTTACATGATCATTGTAACAAATTGTTTATCAACCCTTATTTTTTTAATCTTTTAAACCATTTGAAGACATTACGAAATGACCCGACTTTTGATTATCTATAATAGATACCATTGGTAGGAACATGAGGTTTAAAGCTGTTCAAAAAGGTGGCAAAGCACGTACTAAAGAGCCATTAATTGATAGCTCTGAAGTAAGAGGTATGCAATTTTTATTTGCTAAGTTTCTTTCTTCTTTGGTCCTGAAGTTTCATACTTTTTTTATTTTGAATTCTTTAGATACAAGAGAGAAATTAATGGCAGGAAGTCTGAGCCACCAAAATCATGAATCACAACCAGAACAGCAAATACAAGTGGGAAGTCATGCTGAATATCCTATTTCTTTTGGTAGAATGGGTAAAAGTTTACCTAAAGGTAAATGTAGTGTGTTTCAAATAAATGTGCAAGTATTTTTCTATATTTTTACATGTGTATCAACCCTAAAGAATTGTTTATCAACCCTAATTTTTGGATCTTTTAAGCTACTGTAAAAATTTAAATGTAGTTTGACTTTGGGTTTTCTATAATAGATACTATGGGGAGGCGCACAAGATTGAAGGATGTTAGAAAAATTGGCAAAGCACAAGCTGAAGAGCAATTATTTGATAGCTATCCGGCAGTCAACCAAACCAACTACAATATACATGAAAAGTCTGCACAATTTGGAGGAGGTATGAAAATATATTTACTCAGTTTCTTTCTTCTTTTGTGATGAAAGTTTCATGCTTTTTGATTTTTGAATTATTTATAGTATCTGCAGGAGGGAATCTAAAGGTAGCAAGTCTTAACCACCAAAGTGACCAATCACAATCAGAACAAGTACTAGTGGGAAGTCATGTGGAATCTCCAATTTCTTTTGGTAGAATGAATAAAAGACTACCTAAAGATAACTGCCTGTTTGAATAGTGTTTTCCAATTCTGTTTTTCAAAATTCTTTTACAAAATTGACTCATGTTTTATCATTTTAAAAGTTAAAAAAAGCATAATGGCTAAGGCATGTTTGTTGCATAATCGTTGTAAAGAATTGTTTATCAACCCTAAATTTTTTATCTTTTAAACCACTAGAAATAAATTAAAATAATAGTTTGACATTATTATCTATATCAGATACCACGGGGAAGCGCAGGAGACTGAATACTGTTAGAAAAAGTGGCATAGCACAAGCTGAAGAGCAATTGATTGACAGCTCTAATGCAGTCAACGAAAACAACCACAATATGAATGAAAAGTCTGCACAATTGGGAGGAGGTGTGAAAACTTATTTTGTTCAGTTTCTTTTTTCTTTCTCGTTGAAGTGTCATGGTTTTTTGATTTTGAGTTATTTATGGTTTCTACAAATGGAAATCTAATGATAGCAAGTCTTAACCACCAAAATTACCAATCACAATCAGAACAAGTACAAGTGGGAAGTCACGTGAAATCTCCAATTTCTTTTGGTAGAATGAATAAAAGATTACCTAACGGTAATAGCCTGTTTGAATAGTGTTTTCAGATTCTGTTTTCAAAATTCTTTTACAAAACTGGCTCATGTTTTATCATTTTAAAAGTTAAAAAAGCATAATGGCTAATGCATGTTTGTTAGATAATCATTGTAATGAATAGTTTATCAACCCTAATTTTTTGATCTTTTAAACCACAAGTAAAAAATTTAAAAAATAGTTTGACATTGGATTATCTAAGGCAGATACCATGGGGAAGCACAGGAGATTGAATTCTGTTAGAAAAAGTGGCAAAGCACAAGCTGAAGAGCAATTGATTGATAGCTCTAATGCAGTCAACCAAAACAACAACAATATATATGAAAAGTCTGCACTGGGAGGAGGTATGAAAATATATTTTGTTCAGTTTCTTCCTTCTATGTGTTGATGTTACACACTTTTTGATTTTGAATTATTTTTAGTTTCTACAAGCGGGAATCTAATGGGGGCAAGTCTTAACCACCACAATGTTCAATCACAATCTGAACAAGTACAAGTAGGAAGTCATGTGGATTCTCCAATTTCTTTTGGTAGAATGAGTAAAAGATTACCTAAAGGTAACAGCCTGTTTGACTAGTGTTTTTAAATTCTGTTTTCTATTTCTAAATACTATAAATGAAGAAAATCTGTTTGATGAAATGTTTTTCAAAATTCTTATAAAACTGACTCATGTTTTATCATTGTAAAAGCTAAAAAAGCAAAATGGCTAATGCATGTTTTTGATTTCTATATTTTAGTCAAAAACAAGAAAACATGCAGTGAACTGCCACTTTTCATTAATGATATGTATATTTAATTAAGTGACAAAAACATTAGGTTGAAAAAATAGAATTGTGGAGCAACACTTTTAACCATGATTTTTAAGAGAAGTTACCAAACAAGTTTTCTTTATTTCCTCATTTATAAATAAGTTTTTTAAAACCATAATTACCAAACAGTTTTATTTATCTAATCATTTTGTTCTCTAAAATAGTTTTTAAAAATTGATTTATAAAATAGTTTTCAAGAACTAAAATCCAAAACACAATCAAACTAGCCCCTGGTGTAGTGTATAAAATACTTTAATTCTGTTGGTACTTTCTTATGTTTACTTGTGTATCATTTAGGTTTTTGATCACACAATCATATTAATCAATTGCACTACAATTTTTTGATCTTTTAAAGCACTTGTAGATATTAAAAAATTAATTGATATTGGATTATATAAAATAGATACAATGGCGAGGCGCAAAAGACCAACTGCTGTTCAGAAAAGTGGCAGATCACAAGCTGAAAAGCAATCGATTAACAGTTCTATTGAAGTCAACAGAAACAACCACAATATAAATGAAGAGCGTGACCAGTTTGTTGGAGGTATAAAATTATTGCTGACACAGTTTCTGTTGGGATATAGGATAAGGAGTTAGTTTGTTAGTTAATTTATTAGTTAGAAGTATCAAGATTGATACATGGATAGAGGACATGTGTTATACATGATACTTTCTTACTAATCAATTACTACCTCTGTCCCTAAATATAGGAGAGAATAGTTTTGTTTGCTACATATTGCAGAAAAAAATGACACATAATTAAAAGAGTATGTTAGTATACAAATTATCGATATGGTTGAAAATTTGAAAGAGGTCTTATAAAAGGGACGTTGAAAAATCTCAAGCGACTCCTATATTTGAAATTTCATACATTTTGAGTTTTCATTGTAGATACAAGAGGGAATCTAATGGCAGCAAGTCTTACTCACCAAAGTCACCGATCACAATCACAACAACAAGTTCCAGTGGAAAATCAAGTAGAATCTCCTATTTCTTTTGGTAGAATGGGTAAAAGTTTACCTAAAGGTAAGTGTAGTGTTCATTAAAAATAATTGTGCAAGTATTTTCTCATATGGTTACATGTGTATCATTTAGGCTGGGTTACATGATTATTATAAAGAATTGTTTACCAACCCTAATTTTTTATTTTTTAAACCACTTGTTAAAATAAAATAAAAAAATAGTTTGACATTGGATTATCTATAACAGATACCATGGGGAAGGGCAGGAGATTAAATGCTGTTAGAAAAAGTGGCAAAGCACAAGCTGAAGAGCAATTGATTAATAGCTTTAATACAGTCAACCAAAACAACCATAATATGCACGAAAATTCTGCACAACTGGTAGGAGGTATGAAATTGAAAATATATTTTGTTGAGTTTCTTTCTTCTTTTGTATTGAAGTTTCATGCGTACACGAGGGAATCTAATGGGAGCAAGTCTTAACCACCGAAATGATCAATCACAATCAGAACAAGTACAAGTGGAAAGTCATGTCGAATCTCCAATTTCTTTTGATAGAATGAGTAAAAGATTACCTAGAGGTAACAGCTTGTTTGAATAGTGTTTTTACATTCTGTTTTCTATTTCTGAATACTATAAATGGAGAAAATCTGTTTGATGAAATGTTTTTAAAGTTCATTTACAAAACTTACTCATATTTTATCATTTTGAAAGCTAAAAAAGCAAATTGGCTAATGTATGTTGTTGTTTTCCAATTTCTTTTGATAGAATGAGTAAAAGATTACCTAGAGGTAACAGCTTGTTTGAATAGTGTTTTCACATTCTGTTTTCTATTTCTGAATACTATAAATGGAGAAAATCTGTTTGATGAAATGTTTTTAAAGTTCATTTACAAAACTTACTCATATTTTATCATTTTGAAAGCTAAAAAAGCAAATTGGCTAATGTATGTTGTTGTTTTCTATTTTTTAGTTTAAAAGAAGAAAACATGTGGAGAACTTCCATTTTTCATTAATGGTATATATATGTAAATAAGTGAGGAAATATTAAGGTTTTAGAAAAAGAATTGTGGAGCCACACTTTTATGCATGATTTTTTAGAGAAGTTACCAAGCAAGTTTTCTTTTTTTTCCTCATTTTTATAAATAAGTTTTCAAAAACATAAATACCAAGCAGTTTTTTTTATTTGATTATTGTGTTTATTAAATTAGTTTTTAAAAATTGATTTATGAAATAGTTGTCAAGAACCAAAATCCAAAACACAATTAAACTAGCCCCAGGTGTAGTGTTTTACTAAACTACTGTAAATATGAAAGTACTTTCTTATGTTTACTTTCTGTATCATTTAAGTTAGATTACACAATCATAGTAATCAATTGCACCATAATTTTTTTGGTCTTTTAATCCACTTGTAGATATTAATAAATAAACTGATATTGGATTATATATAATAGATACCATGGAGAGGCGCAAAAGGCCGAATGCTGTTCGGAAAAGTGGCAGATCACAAGCTGAAAAGCAATTGATTGATAGTTCTTTTGAAGTTAACCAAAACAACCACAATATAAATGAGGAGTGTGACCAATTTGTTGGAGGTGTGAAATTTTTGCTGACTCAGTTTCCATTAGGATATAAGATAATGAGTTAGTTAGAAAGTATATTGTAGTATAGCACATGTAGAGGAGGACGTGTGTTATACATGATACTTTCTAACTAATCGATTACTATCTCTGTCCCTAAATATAGGAGAGATAATTAGTTAATGTTTTCATAATAGTTGTATTTACTACGTATTGCAGGGAAAAGGTGACATACTTAAGAGTGTAGTATAGTAATAATTAATGCAGTTGAAAATTTGAAATAGGTCTTACAAAAATGATAACGAAAACTCCCAAGAGGGTCCTATGTTTAGAAACAAAGATAGTAACCAACTAACTTCCCTTAATCCTCCTTATCCTTTATTCTAACAGTTTCTTTCTACTTTTATCTTGAAATTTCATACATTTTTATTTTGAAATCTTCATAGCAAATGCAAATACAAGAGGGAATCTAATGGTAGCAAGTCATAATCACCAAAGTGATCGATCACCATCACAACAACAAATTCCATTGGAGAGTCGAGTAGAAAATTCTATTTCCTTTGTTAGAGTGCGCCAAAGTTTATCTAAAGGTAACCTGTATTGATTTTATAAAAACAAATATGTAAGTATATACCCTTTGCTTGATGTATAGTTCATTAACGTATCAGCCATACATGATTTAGGTCAAACGAGGGTAAGAGGTTATTCCCGAATGCTGGATGTGTGGAATTTGCCTGATGGAGAATTCATACGTGTTGAAGTAGATTCTTTAGGCAATCCAATTGAGTGGGAAGGAAAAAAACTTTTAAATGCAATAGGTTCCTTGGCAAGGAAGCATCAATATGCTCCCATCAATATTCTAAGCTGGAAAGACATGCCAGAGCTGAATATAACTAATATGCTTGATTTGATACAGGTCTTGTTTAATTCTTTTAAGTTCTATTTGATTTCACTTTCTATAACATTCTTTTTTCCCGTGTCTTACAAATTGTTTATTTGCTAACGATCTCAACAACAGAGTAAGTTTCATTTTGTTCCTACATTGACGGACCAAACAAAGCAAATACTAAAAGATAACTTGAGTGCTAAGTGGAGGCAATTCAAGCATGATTTGAAAGAAAAGGGATACGATGAAAACAAGACTGAGGAAGAAATGGCTGCCAACATCCCTGATAGAAGAGTCGATCCTTCTCAATATCGTGCTTTAGTACATCATTGGTGTTCCCAGAAAGGACAGGTACTTGTACAATGTCATTAACCTTCACTTTATATAGCAATTATTTAGAACATGCTTGTTTATCATTGACACTTTTATTTCCTGTTCAAAGAAAATAAGTAACATCAACAAAAGGAATCGTTCAAAATATGAGGATGTACACTGCATGGGAACGAAGAGTCTTCCAAGGTTCATTCACGAGGTGGTTTATCTATTTCATTATTTTTTTTTCTTATTATGTTGTTTGTATGAGTATTTTATCACTGTGAAGCAAGCAATTCTCTTCGTTAAGCACTTTTGGATATTTTTTTATGTTTTGTTTATTACTGAAAAGGTGGACACAATTTCTTAGAAGGGATAGACTAAATTAACATTTTTCTAAAAATCAATCAATTGTGAAGAGTCCAATCAAAAGTGGGAATGGGATTTGACATTTTTATTACTAATTACTAATGTTAGGTAACTGAGGCTAATGGAGTACAACCTTCACGAGCTGAAATTTATATTCAAACTCGAACTCGCAAAGATGGGAGAATTGTGACTGAGAAGGCAGCTAATGTGATTGTAAGAATTTCAATTTTCAGGCATAAATGAATTACCGAGTACTGCTAACAACACACTCTCTAACGCATATTTTTCAACACACTTTTATTGCCCAAATTCATATGGACCCCCATCAAATCATGTGGGATATATAAACTTGGTGGGATTCATATGAATTTTAACAGAAGAAGTGTTAGCACTATTCTTGAATTGTCACTGATTGAAACTATTGATGGTTGTGGATTATAGTTGAACTGCACATAGTCAGTTTTGCCTTGTATTTTGTGCAGGGTGAATTAAAGAAGCATATGGTAGAGACTTCAAGTTCATGCACTCCTCAAATGCCTCAAGATTCTACAAATTGGGCGAATGACATATACTCGAAAGTAAGAGGTCCTGAAAAGAGAGGATCTGTGCGTTGTTTAGGCAAGGTTCCACGTGTTTCAAATACTTCATCTCAAAGCCCTAATGTAGAAAATAGGGTCATCAAATTAGAAAATTTGCTTGGGAATCTTGTTTCCGTTCTTCAAACACGATTTTCAGCAGATCAACAAATCAATGATGTTTTGCAAGCTATAGCTCAAGAGGTACGAATTCCTAAAATTCAACTTCTTTGAGAAATTTCGCTATCATATGAAATAATGATAATAATACTGATTTTCACTTAGGTACCTGCTGCTATTGCTCCAAGTACACCAAATGATTCCTCTGGTAACTATCAGCAAACTACAAGTGACAGTTATTGAAGTGACGGCTATTGAGTGAAATTGGTACTGGTGAGTAACAGCAAACTACAAATACATATAAAAGTAGAAATTGGTACCAAGTGTCAACAAAAACTACAAGTAACTATATAAGTTTGATGTGACTAATCTTACTGTATTACATTGCTATTTTAGGAAGAAGGTTTTGATATAATTATAAGGGACATGATGGTGACACATGAAGAACTTGATTAGATCTGAAGGTATTAATAGTTCTCGCGATTGCTCAATTTTAAATTTGTTGGCATCCTAGATTTCCTTAGTAGTTATTTTACCTGATTTTGAGTCTTGGTACATGCGGGGTGGGTGGCTTTCCCTTTTTTTATTTGTGTAATTTAATAGTCTGCACTTGATACTTGGTGGATTCATAAGGAATAGGAGTTGGAGATCGGCAGTAACGTTTCATGTATATGATGAATCTTTTGCTGATTGGTTTTTACTGTTTGTAACTGGATCTCATATAACAGTAACTCCTGTAAATATGTTTCACTCAGTAGCATTTGTTTTAGCGGTGTATAGTATATTGACAAGACTAGCTAGGATGCTTTATGAATTTTACAAAAAAACAATAAAATTAAAAATATTCCAAAATCTATTAATCCATACCAAATTATTTAACAAATATGTATAAAATCATTTATTTTGGAAAAATTATAATTTTATCACATTTTTTTTCTTCAAAATTCAGACTTCCTACACTAGAAATCAAATTTACAAAAAAGAATGTGTTGACTTCATGCTCTTTAAATAATTGTAAAAAGACAATCTACTCAATTTATAAAAAATATAGCTCATTTTACATTACATACTCGATTTTTTTTTTTTTAAATTGATATCATTCTACAATTCATATCAGATTTATGAAAAAACGTAGTATTTAACTGCGTTTTAAATAAAAATCGTAGTATTAACTTTGTCTACTTTAAATGAAGGGTTTATTTTGTTAGTAGTGGAGAGCCATTTAATGTAAATCTCAAGATTTAGAAGTATATTTTATGAAGCACCTCAAATACGTTAAATTAATGCGCAAGTGGATTACACTCTCATTTGTCTAAAAAGAATAGTCTAAAATTAAATTTATTATACCCTCATTTATTTAAAAAGAATAGTCTAAAATTAAATTTATTATACCCTCATTTATTTAAAAAGAATAGTCTAAAACTATATTTATGAAATAATCAATCTTCCACAATAACTCTCATCTAACTATGTTTTTTTAAAATAATCAAATTTTAAAGTTTTAATACTAAACTAACCAATCTTCCACAATAACTCATTTAATTATGTGCAGAATTTCCTACGGATTTTTTTACAGAATTACCTACGGAAAACTATCCGCAGATAAACCTGTAAGTAAATCCGCAAAAAAATATGCAGGAAATATCATATCTGCAGGAAAATTCACAGATAAATAGAAAATTGAAAAAAAATTTAAGAGATAGCTATGCGCCATCTCACTCGACGTCTCCTTTAAGAAAATCAATGCATACGCCATCTGAGATGATTACTGCAATATAACATTTTCTGAAACATAATTATTTGTGTTAATTTCTCCGAAACATTATTTTTGTATGTTTTTTCAAAACATGATTATTGTTAAAAAAAATTATAATATCCTTTCATAGAATTTTTTCATTCTAATGCTGAATATTTTATCCTCAATTAAAGTTATATTCTTAAGATTATTATTCTCAGTAATATTATTTTAACTTATGTGTTTGATAAAAAATTAGATTTTTTAAAATACTAAAATTTATTTGTAGGTTTTCTACGATTTTTTTTGAATTTTCTGATTTAATTATTAGAGACTAAAATTAAAAGGATTTTTATATTTAAGAAACATTTCTAAAAAAAAAGATACAAAATCGAAAATAAAAAATAAAAAATAAAAAATATGTAAATTTATAAAGACTAAAAAACTACTTAAAATTTTATTTAACTTAAAAATATAAAAATAGTAAATGTGAGTGGTAATTAGAAATTATAATTGGTCAAGTTATTTTTTGACTTGTATAATTGATTAAGTTTATTTCTTCTTTAAGTCTTGAAATAAAAAAGAAATCATATGAAAATAACATTCTTTAGAATAAAAAAAATACATTAATTTTTTTTTTAAATAACCATTTTTTTTTTAAATTCTCAAATAACCACTTTTTCAAAATTTTTATCAAAATGACCACTTTTCAAACAATTTTTTTTTGCCACACAGAAGAGTAGCCACTCTGTGTGGCGCACACATTCAATTTAAAGAGGAGGCACCATACTGTATGGTTTGTTCTCATCTGTAAAGCCATGCAGTGTGGCGCACACCTTTGTTTTTAGAGAGGAGGCGTCACCCTCCTTGACTTGACATTGTTATTGCAATTTTTTTAAAATAAAATAAAAAAAAACTAAAAATATTTTATATTACACAACGCATGGATACATTTTTTGGACGTCCCCTCAATCTAAGTGGGCCCCCGTATGACATAAACGGCCGCGCCTTTGCCTCACCCCCGTCTCACTCTTCTCTTTTGATTTTCCTGAGGTGTTTGTGGTCTGTTCTGACTCGCTTGATTATGGGGTGCTTGATGTGATGGTCCTGGTACATCAGGATAATACATCTCATCGATCATTTTGCCCCACTGTGCTATACTTCTAAAGAGATCGGTGTCCATATTGTTGAAGTTTGGTCTTGTTGGTTGGGATATGTGTGGGTGGTGGGGTGGTTGATAGTATTGGGATATTGAATCGTGATGGAAACGAAGCAACAGTTCTTGTGGTGTATGAAATCCGTATGATGGTTGGGTACTTCGATGGTGTGATGTTTGACTGTATGTAGGTTGAGTGGTATTGGTAGGAAGGAGATATATTATATGTGTATTGGGTGTTGTGGTAGGATGAGGATGGTATATATTGTTGGTGGTGGATCGGGTCATGCTCTTTGATCTGACCTGATCAGAAATGGACCGTCACGGCTGGCTCCGAGCAGAAAGCTTTTTTGAACGAGGTGGGGGGGGGGGGTACCTGTAAGACACTCCGATGCTGAAGTAAGTAGGAGTACGAGCAGATAATAGTAAGTTGAGGTTAGAATGATGAATACCTGACCCTCTGGAAACAGAGGGTATTTATAGCCCCCAGCGCTGGGCCAAGGTTCCTCCATTGGGCCGGGCGGATTTGGCCCAATGGAGGAACTGCCAGGTTCTACGTGGGTAGTGGGGACCCGCGCGTGGTCCCCTTCCTGGATGTTCTGCGTGAAGTGCGGGCGGACGGAGACGCGGTCTTTCCGGAGTATCGTTGGGGGAACGGTGGACTGAGTCTGCCCTAGCTGGGTTGCTCGGGACCACGTCGAGCTGGACAGCAGGGTGCCGTGCTCGAGACCATGTCGAGCTGGACAGCAGGGTGTCGTGCTGGGTGTCAGGACGTGGATTTGGACAGCGGGATGTCGGGCTGGACATCAGGATGTCGGGCACGGGTGTGACCCCTTTGCTCGGCGTGGACCTCAGTAAGTCCCTTTGGATTGGGCCTTAGTAATGCTTTTGGGCCTGTCGGGCCTAGTCCAGAACAACAGCCCCCCAAGTCGTGGTTCCTTTGCGAGGAGCCATGACTTGAACCCAAGTTATTCCATCGCTGAGGTCTCGTGCCCGGGATAGAGGTGTGGGCCCTCGAGGGGCCTCCTCGTGTCGTGCTCGGAGACGTCCTCGGAGGTGGATGCGCGGAGGATCCTTACCGGGCGTGTCGGTCGAGCACACGATGTATCTTTCGGGAACTGTGCCGCCACCCTACGGGGGTAGGGCCATCATTGCGTTGGGAGCAGCGCGTCGAGGAGATGGAGTCCGTGGTTGCCCGAGGTGACGTTTGGTATTCCACGTTATCACTATAAATAGGAACCTTGGGCCCCATAATACATTTTCTGCTCTCTGTGCTCTCTCTGCTGCTGCTCTTCCAGACTTTCTCCAGTTGCGACTTCTCGTCACAGATTCTTCCATTTCGTAGCCAGATCCCACTCTTTGATCCAAGTAAGTGATCTACCTTCTTCATTTTTCCGTTTAGAATGCATGATTTCTGGCGTTTGTAGATGTTTTAGGACCGTGCGCGTGGGATTAGCCCGGTAAACTCGTGCTTAGCCCGACACATTCACGTCTAGGACCGGCAAACGCATGTTTGTGGCCGGCACATTCATAGTTTAGGTGATAAACTTCAGAGCTGCCCGGGGTCTTCATGATCCAGGGCGCCTGATTCATGATCGCGCCCGGTATGTTCATGGTCTTGGCCGTGGGCTTCATGGTGCGGCTCGCCATGTTCATACCTCGGGTCGACATGCTTGCAGAGTGGCCGCGTAGTTGGTTTGAGGAAGAACACCGGGTTCAGGACGTCGGGGAGGCAACCATTCGTGGGAAATGGACTCATGTAGTCGTGTATGGGACGACATGATTTTGTCGAGCGTAGGACTTCGTGCTCAACTGACTGGTTTCCCGTGCTCTGCAGGTGACCATGGCGGACGAGCCGAGCTCTTCCGGACGCCGCGACCGTGACGAACAGAGTGCCGACGAGTCGGTCACCCTGATTGATACTGTGACCGACCCTTTGCTGGAATGGGTGGGCGTCGAGCCGCGGGGGATAGCGTCGGTATACAGCCGGGGCGACCGGCATCCATTCGACGTCGTTGAAGAGGGTCAAGACCAGCCCGGCTTCCAGAAAAACTTTGTAGTTATGGTTCCGTCAACCCGGGCAAGGATTTGCTCGGTCTATCCGAATTACAGCCTCGCGATGTATGAGATCGCGTTCAAAGACCTAGGACTGCGGCTGCCATTCACTGATTTTCAGGCCGGGGTCTTTATGCACTTGGAGCTGGCCCCGTCCCAGCTACACCCAAACTCTCTCGCCTTCATCCGGGCGTTTGAGTTGACGTGTCGCTACCTGAGGATCGAGGCGACCATCCCTCTTTTCTTCCGGGTATTTCACCTGCAGCGTCAGTCCCGAGGAGGGAAACATAGCTGGGTCTCCCTGAAGCAGTCGAGGAGACTCTTTAAGATGTATATGGACTCCGTGAGGGGGTTTAAAGACAAGTGGTACGTGGTACGGCCAGTTACCGACGCTGCTTTAAATTCCCTTTTCGAGGAGGAGGGGCCGGTGAGCGACGATGATGGGGAAGTGATGGTGGGCGACGATGGGAACCCTGTGTTGGGTCGTAGGGCTAAAATCCTGGTGTACTG